AAAAAAAATAAGGTGAGCTTCAGTATTTACTCGTCTGTTCGGTAGAGTGAGGTCGCTGCGGCGCGAGCGACGTGTCATACCTCCTCGAGGAGGGGAAAACCATTGAGGTTAATTCAGTCAACGGTGATGGCAAACGATTTGCGCAATGCACCGAGCGTAATCATCAAATTATGAAGGTTATAGAGGCATACCAATGTCGAAAACGAGGTGCACCACTGTATATCTTTTGAGAATTGTTTTCTTAAAAGAGGTAATTTTATAATGCATGTACTTCATTATTTCTTGTATAACTTGTGTGCAGTAGAACGATATATTCGCTCTGAAGAAGCGTTATACACGGTTCTCTTCTTGTTAAGTTTATTATCCACCGGAATATATTTGGTCGTGGCTAGCAATGGATATATCCCTATATGGCTAGGCAAAGTTTTCTACTGGGTACATTCAGGCCCAACTTACCATCGTTCTCAGGGTTTGACGAAGCATTCCACGCTTGCCTATGCGTCGTCATCACAGCTACACCAATAGACATTACAGTCAAACATCTTCTCGTCGTTTGAAAGCGGCTCCTACTCTTGTTCTGGGTTGGAAAGAATCAGCTGCCATAGAACACCCTTGGTAAATTTCAGAGGTATTTTACCCAGCTCGACACTTCGCGTTTTGAAAATCTGTCAGGTGCCGGCTGCGGCGCCGCCACAAGCGGCTGTGTAGGGCGTTCACGCTGTAGCATTGCCCCTACCCTTTCTCGGCCAACATGAATGCCTACTGTCGATTTATCCGACGCTAACGGAAGCACGACAACGACAGCTCAGTATGTTATATAATAAACTATTTAACAAATTTGACTTTTAATATTTTAAAATGTTTAATTTTAAAATGACAATATTATTTTTAAAGGTGTTACCAGATCAACTTGTACTGTAATATGTTAACCCAACGCTCATTTGATTGGGAAAACTGACTGCCCAAATCAACCAGAGGCGATGATCGATCGCCGCTACCACCGCTCCTTGCAGGTGTTCTCGTGGGTGGCCTGCGCCGCCATGACGGCCAAACTCGTGCTCTTCACCGAGTACGGCACGCGGAGAGGTCACGGCGAGCACGAGCACGTCTTCACGGGGGTACGATACGTCACAATTTAGCCTCTTGACATCACCACTAATATTGTTATGGGCTCGCAGATTCAGAGGTACGCGGACAAGCAGCTCGACAAGTTCTTCGGCGTGGAAGACATCAAGAAGCAGGCCCGGCCCGACCAGCAACACCCGTCCGCTGATGCTGACAGGAAGGAATAGACAGATGATGACGCTAGAGGAATCCGCAATGCAAATGTGTACGACATGTATCTACAGTAAATGCAAGAGCTACTTACTGGTAGAGCTTGCAATCAGCCCTAGAATGGTCGTCCCTCTTATACTTTTACTCGCTCGGTTCATCCGGAGTGGGTGCAGGTGCAGCACTAGGCTTGAACACAGCAAACTGTGGACGCGGCGGCTTATGCTGTGCAGTGGAACCACCACGACGTGCGCCGTACATCCCCGGACGTGACGGCGGCGCCATCATAGCAGCCAGAGGATCCTTCTTCATCAGCACGTGGGACGGAGGTGGAGCCATGAGCGCAGCCAGTGGATCATTACTGGGCGTGGGTCCACTGGTCATAGACCCGGGCGCTGAGTTCGTCGAACCTACTGGAGGAACGCCGACGCCGGATCCTGGCGCGCTGGCAGGCATGGGACCAGTAGGCGGGGCGCTGGGCATCGCAGGCTCCTCTGCAGCAGCTTCACCAGGGAATATCCAGCGCTTGGTCTCCTCATCGAAGTAGGCTTCCATCTGCTCGCCAAGCTTGGCTACCTTGGCCTCCGGGTTCATCTTGGTGGCGATAAACGACGACAGACCAGACAGCCATCCAGAGCTTTTCGAGCTTCCGCTAGGTGGAGGCGTCTTGGAACGTCCAGACTTCTTGGCCTTGAACTTAGGACTTGCCTTGCCCTTATCGCTCGACGGTCCACTCATAGTGGCAGCATCTGTAGGCGGCAGCGAAGCAGCAACCTCAGCGGCGAGATCAGAGGCTAAAGTCTTGGGTTGGCTTGAAGAACTCGTGTCACCTGATAAATCCAACGGAGCTGGTTTCTGCAACGCAGGGCGTGCGGTCGGCGTCTCCTGGATATACTGCGAGTACTGGGAATGTTGCGAAGTCTGCGATGACGGAGGCTGCTGGTGCATCGGCTGGGGTGCAGTCGATGGCATTCCATGGAAGCTACTGTTGCTGTGAGTGCTGCGGTTGCTTCCAGGAGGTTCCATCGAGTGCTGCGAGCGCATCAACGGCACAGTACCGTGTTTCTGAGAAGCAGGTCCGGCGGAACCAGGACGTCCATTCCCAGAGAACGGACCAGACTGCTGAGGTCCTGGACGCCCATTGCCGGAGAACGGTCCCGACGGGGGAATGTTGCTGGAACCTTGTCTCGAGTAGGGACCCGCAGGTGACGCAGAGGTTCGGTTGTAGCCGTTCGAGGAGCCCGGGGCGCTTCCTGGTGGAGTCGCGTGGATATACGAGGGAATGGGTCCGTGTGAACTGGGCGGTGGGGTCATATGCGCCTGAGGTGGGGTCTGCTGGGCGAGCTGCTGCGGATATGAAGGCGCAGGTGACAAGGTCGATGTAGGCACAGATGGAGTCGGATAGCTCGCTGCGGGCGGAGTCGCCTCGTTCGCGTACAAACCGCCCGGTGACGCACTAGAACCGGAAGGTGCAGCCGTACTCGAGTCGTTGCCTTCCACCACGCGGTTGACGATCTTGCCCATAATGCTCAACGCACTGCCAAGTCCCCACTTGCCTTGCTTACGGCTTCCACCTCGGCTAGTTGATGCTGCCACTGAGGCCACTCGGTCTTGGCCAAGGTGTTGACGCAGTCGATCATCCAGCACTGTGAGCTGGTTCTTCATGCCTTCCAAGTACATGGAAGTGCCGGGCTTCATCGTCGCGGTCACCGCCTTGATCACTGTCAGCATGGACGTGACATACTTGAACGCAGTCTCGAGTTTTCCGTGATCCGCCAGCAGCATGGCATAAATAAGCTTGTAGCCTTGGAAAGGGATCATGAGGTTCGCCGACGCGCCCTTGGCTTGTTTTTGGGCCCATTCGTACACCTCCGTGCGCTGCACAGCTCCAGGCGACACGTAGAATCTCGCTTCCGTTGATGTGCGGTGGTCTCCACCCAGAAGTGCAATCTTTGAAGTCGGCATCGGCGCTTCCACTTGAATTCCAGCTAGCAAGTAGCACACATGTGCAGCCGCAACAGCGTTGACTTCGGTCCATAACCGGTCTCCAAGCTCTGTCAAGATCTTGTTGGTGTCTGCAGTCCGATTCGCGAGAAGAACTTGAGCGTGTGACACCCACGCTGACAGAACGAGAGAATCCGAGGACTGTTGGATGTTGGTTTGCAGTAGACGCTTGGGTTCTTGCACGCTCTTTTCCTGTTGGTCTGCGAAGGCCATGAATAGTGCGCGGCTTGGGTCACCCATTGCATACGTTTCGTCCAAGTACGTACGCAGGACTCGCTATTAATTCGCCAATGACACAAGAGAGAAGTTAAGTAACATATCGAGATACCACTGAGGGTGTAAAGACTTACCCTGTACTCCTCCTTGTCAGTAAATGAAGCGATCAGCATGGCTTCCGGCCACATGTGCGCACTCATCGCAGTAGAGACCGCTCCCTTACGATCACCAACCAACAGCAGTTCGCGTAGTTCGTTTGCATGCTTCAGCATCAAATCCGGGTGCTAGTAAAGACATTAATCACGTTAGCTGTGAAAAGACCTCATCACGTAATACCAGCTTACCATCGCAGACTGAATCTTTCGAGGGGGAAAAGTCGGAGGCTGGTTGCCACTTCGCCGCTTGCTGCTTTCGCTGAGCAGTGTAATCAGTTGAGCCTCTGGCGAATCAGGATCGCTTGGGTTCAGTGTTCCAGGGTCCGAGCGCAACTTTCCATTGCACTTAACCAGGACACGTAAGATGCCCAGAAGCAAGCGGTCGTTCTCGTCCTCAGCCTCGTCAGCGCTTGTAGGGGCCTCGCTACGCTTCAGTCGGTCGTCGAGGTATTCCAGAATCGCCTCATCAGACACGTTTTCCGTCAATGGACCCGGGAATATGTCCATCTGCTCAAATTCCTTGTCCTTCGGATGAAGTTGGTCCATGCGATACAAATTCACCGGGCCCTTGCGAAGTTCACAGTTCCCTCCGTTATCGAACGCAGACGGCCTGAATGCATGCACACAAACAACAAGAGAAGATTAAAACAAGCAATAGGATGATCAATATCATGGCGAATACGTACGGTGCGGGGCCACGAGGACTGTTGCGGAAACCGCTTCCTGCGATGTTCAATCGCAGTTTCCTCTTCGGGAACATTGTCACCACGTTACCACCAAAGCCGAATGACGCGAGGCATGACGGAGGTGCCACGCATGGGTCCTTGTACTTGTTACTGGTCTTCACAATAGGCGTTGCAGCGGCATGAGAC